GATTGAATGCTTTTTGGCTCTCTTTTGGCTTGTTCTACCATCTTCTGTCTTGTTTGTCATTACTCATTCAATGCTGAATCTATATTTTTATGTGTTGCTTAGATTTTTAGTAGTGGAATTCTTAGTGTGCATAAGCCATGGCCAAAATACACTAAAGGCACTACTTATCCTGTCTGATCTTGAAAATCAAACAGGCCATACCTAATTGGTATTTGAATGGTAAACCATCAACAAATGCCAGGGGCTGTAGACTGTATTTCAGTAGAAGAACCTGCCAGCCCATCTCCGAATCTTCCTTGCCTAAGAGAACCCTATCAAATTGATGGGGTCACTATCAGTCATTAGGCAACTTGACTATACAAAGGTTTTACCAATGAGGACCAGTGTCATGTAGTGGGTTAATGGTTGGTTTAGCTCTCCAGTAGACCAAGACTCAAATCTCTGTCCAGTCATGAAAATGCACCGAGTGACCTAGGGAAAGTCACATTCTCTCAGCCTTAGAGAGGAAGACAATGGCAAACTTCCTCTCAATAAATCTTGTCAAGAAAACCCTACTGTAGAGTCATCCAAAATCTGAAACAACCGTTTTATTCCTTCCCACATGTTTCTGACAAAAACCAATTAGCAATTACAGAACATTTACTTTCTAACCAAACATGGTAGACCACTTTTTGTTTTCACGTGTATGGAAAACACGTGAAAACATCTCTTACATCTCAGTTTCAGCTAACCATTTCTTCGTTAGTTATTATGGAAAGCCAGAATATATTAACATATTTAATTTCCCTCCTTGGCAACAACAGTTTTTTTCACATCTCCCTTGTGAATTGGTATGCTGCACGACTGCTTGATGGATGCTGATGCTGCTTATTTTCCATAGGGAGCTTCTGGGAAATATCATTCATTTATTGAATTACTAAATCTTTATTCTAACTTCCTTTCATATGAGACTCTAAATTTTTAGAGTTGATCATTATCAATATGGTGATAGCCTTCTCCATTTATTTCAACATTTATTATGCTTCGTTGCTCCTAAAATAGTATTTAGAAGGTGTGGTTGGGTGGGTGAGGCTGAGAAGCAAAGGTAATGATCTCAGTGCCCTGGAGAGATTTTGTTACCTGTGATGATGAAGTTACTATTTCCCTATCTAAGTAAGCTTAGAATCCAGTGTACTCCTGTATTCTGTACAGTGATTGCACAGACAATTAAAAGTGGATGGATCTATCACTTGTCAGCTATTAAAAAGTTTTGTTAGCATTGTTTCTGAATTGAGATCTTTAACTTCTGTGCTGATTTTAATCATTTTATTGGCTTTAATTTCATAACTGTTCTATGCTGCTTGGAATATCCTCAGTCTGGACATAGAGTATTGTCGTATTCAAGTTGTGGTATGTTATCCTCATCCATGCACTTGTACATGCCAGAAAGGACTAATGCACTCTTTTGGGATGCCCTTCAGAAGCCTCTGGTGGCGCAAAGTGCTGCTGAGTGCCTCTTATGCATCCTTGGAAGCATTGATCAGTCAATTGTGGAATGGTTTTAACAGTGACTGTTTGCCTCTTGATAACATTCAAAAGGCTGCTGGTTTTGTTTTGAATCCTCGCATAGCTTGGGATTTCTAAATTATATTTCTAAAATGTTCCTCTGCCTATTAGAGCCACTCTCTTGGACATGTGACCCTGTATGTTCATCCTTGTGGTTCCACACAACCTTTTGCAAAATGTAGGGTTTTTCTCGGCTACAGTCATCAAATTGAATGTGTATCTGAGTGAAACATTACCCAATGTACAACATAGTCAGGTTTGATTTCAAAAAGTAAACTAAAAAATTGAGTAGACTAGTTTAAAGGAAACTGAAATGTGGAACTCCAAAGTCAGGTCTCCAAAACATGTGAAATTGTTCAAAACTGCAGAAATACAAACTGAAGTTCATTCCATAGAAAGCTTTCAGTACTCCAAAATTGGACATCTTGGCTCTCCATATCCACGGATTTTGCATTCATAGATTTAACCATCCATGACTGGAGAAATCAGAAATGCTGATCTCGTCGTTTTGCTACACTATTGTATGTAATGGGATTTGAGTATCTATGAGTTTTGTTATCTATGAAAGGTCTTGGAACCAAATCCCAGGAGAAACTAAAAGCCCACTGTATGTGTTTAATGTTTTTGCAGCTAGCAGGCAGAACTTTGGCCACTTCATTGTACAGTACTCCAGGCCTTTTTCTGTTTCTTGGTCCCTCCGGATTCCCCAGAGTTACCTTTTTGTGATATTCTAGAAGAGTGCATTGATTCATATGGAAGCTCCTAGGAATAGGCATTTCCTTTTTTTAGTCACTGAACCCTACCTCTCAATACTATTTCATGTTTAACAAATGTGTTATTTATAATTAGAAGTGTACCTCTTACTGCTAGTTTTGTTCCATTTTTGAGGTTGTTTTTGGCAATCTGCACAGCCATCAAAGGGATTCAAGAGCAAACAATTGCCCCCTGGGCTCATTGCAGTTCTCCACCCTTGCCTTATATATGAAGTCTGCCTCATAACAAATCAACCTTCTGTTACAGAAGAGGCAAAGTTACACTTGGGATGGAATGCTGACTTGTGAATTAAATGCAAATTTATCAATAATACTTTCTGAATAACACTGATCACCAATAGTTCCTATTACTAGATACCATATATAGAGTGATTATATTTATAGACTTCTATTTTGGAACTGGAAACAAGGGTGACAGGCTGAAAACTTGGTAAAAGTACAACCCATGTACTTAGAGGAGCCTTTTAAGGTTAAACACTGGAGATTGAGGTGTCTGAGGTACTCCACATTCAGCCCACAGAGTCCTCTTGTGGCCATTCAAGTGATAGAAATGTGTAATGGCTTTAACTATTGATTCATAGTTAAGGCCATTACACAGAATCAGATATGTAGTTATTGAATGTAAAGTTGAAATAAAGGTCATCTGGACGGATCTATTAATGACCTTCTAGGTCATATGTGTCAAACTCAAGGCCTGTGGGCAAATCCGGCCTTCCAGGTCATTTTATGTGGCCCACAAGATAGATGCTGGACTACAACTTCTGTATTTCTCATCATTAGACATTATGACTAAAATTGATGGAAGTTATGCTATAATAACATCTGAAAGGCTGCAGATTGTTCTGTTTAGCCAGGATAGTGGTGTTTGAATTGAAATACAAGGTTTCTGGATATGATGCCTGGCATTAAAATTATTGTTATTATTGTTATATTTATTTATACCTGCTTTGCCTCTTCCAAAGGATACTCAAAGCAAATGCCTTATGATCCTTCTCCAACCTTAGAGCCACAAGAGGTAATTGGAAGTGATGGATGTTGCTGTTCAATAACATATGGCAACCAAAATTGGGTAAAAACTAAATGTAAAAACATTATCGTTGACCCTCTGTATCTATGGATTTTCCATCCATTGATTCAATGGCCCTTTGAAGGTCACCATAAAGCTGATATGACCCTTGATGAAAAAGAGTTTGCCACCCCTGTTCTAGGTGATCTGGAAGTCTGTAGCCTTTTACTGGGCCATAATATATAGATATACTTATTTATAGGTCCAAGCATTTCAGTTAAAAATGAACTAAAAAATGAGCTGGCTTATCCACAAGTCTGTCTAAACTCTTATTAACCCTTTCTCATAGTAGAATAGCAAAATATGACAGCTTAGTAGTCTATCCTGAGATAACAACAGAAGTGCTGAATACAATCTCTTTATTATCTCCACCATGACACCACCTTTCTCCTTTTTGAATATCTACATGAGGAAATGCCAACAATAATGGCCAGAGTTGGCTGGCTTCCTGAGGCAGCACTGGTGCTTTCCCCTATCTGTGGAATGACCATTGATGTATCCACAGGTCATATCAAAATCTATAATTTTGGCCCCAAAATGTACTCTAAATTTATTATATTAGGTCAGCTTATACACTCGTTTATATGGATAAATTTGCTGACTGACACAGATATTTTATAAAGGAATGCAGTCTGTTCAAAACAGGATGATTAATTCTGTTTGTAGAGATTTAATTTTAGAACCAATTATCTTTTTTTAAAAGTCTGCTGTTGTGGGTGAAGCTTCTCAAAATTGATTCTTAATTTCTTTAATAAAAGTTTATTTTAAAATATTATTCCCATCACCATTGTCTACCCCAGATAGGGATGGAGCTTAGCATGAGAAAATTCTGTCCTTCATGAAGCTGACTACAGAGTTTGTGTCATAATTGAAATTTAAAATGAGAATTGATCTGCTCAAAGCTCTGGAATATTTGTCATTTTAATACTGCTGCTGTTGCCTATTTTTCTTGAGTAGTCAGTGTTTTGGATAATTCCAAAACATAATTTGGATAGCAGGACTGAGGAGCAAGGGTGGGGAAGACATCTACTATTTAGAGTGAATTTTCTCAGTGTAATTTTAAGAGGGTTTTTTTGTACAGTAATAAGTCAAGTGTGAAAATTCATAGGTAGTCAGACTGTATCTCCCTGCATTCTTACTAAAGCTAAAGCTGTTGGAAGTTATGTCTCATAGTATTTGATGTCTGCTGGAAGTTAGTTTTGTAGTATTTGAAGGCAAGCAGTCAGTACCATATTTATTAAAAGGATATTTTTTGTCAAGGAGGGATAGTTTTCTGTGTTCTAAAATGAAATAACTTCATTGTAGATTTAAGTAGAAAATCAAAACAGGCTACTGTTTTTTTCAGTACTTTGCAAGCATCACTTGTTACGTTCTGATTCATTGAAGAGTCCTTTGTTAACTCCCATAGTTACAAGGAATTTCACCAAAACTACCAATTTTCTTACACTTTCCGCTACCATTGATTGGGCGGCAACTAAAGAAATAATAATGGCCTTCGGGATTTATCTCGCAGCTTAAAAGCGTGGTGCCAATAAGAATTTCTACAGTAAAGTTGAGAAGAACAGTTGTAGGAACTGAAAATTACATGTGTATTTTCTTCTTTTTATCTGTTTCAGGCAAAAGTGCAGTTTTGAAGTGTCTGCTAGATATTCACAAGATTTTTCGAGAAAATGATCCTGCATATATTCTTAATGACCTTTACATCACAGATTATTGCATTTGGATTCAAAAAGCCAAGTAAGTTAAGAAATCTGTTATTCCCCTTACAAAAGCATTTTTGTCACATTTGATCCAGTAACTTTGTAGAATACTAAACAACCAGAGCAAATATATTCACTTCTCTTGAGATTCTTAGTACAGATTTTATCAATTCCTCCTTGGATTTGCTAGTTGTAGTCTTCTGGGAAGGAAGAATCAGGAACTCTTGAATTCTACATAAATTAAAGGGGTTTTATTTGTTTGTTTGTTAAATTTGTACTTATGAGTCAATATCCAATATGTGTGCGTGGCCCTCACCAAAAATTTAAGAATTGAAACATACCCCATACTTTTTTTGTTTTGGTTTTGTAAATCTCAAAAAGCTCTCAAAATCCGTTTCATATTCAGTGCAAGGAAGCAAAGTTGAAAAAGCAAAGCCAAAAAGGCTGCCTTAGTGCCTGCCTTGCCTTTCCTGTGTAAATTTATGGCCTCTCGTCTTTAGGAGTGAGGAAAAGATGGAGGAGCCCCATGTAGCCCTATGTCGTTTGGGAAAGGAGGAACCCTATGCCAGAGAATTCAAAAGGCTTTGCTCTAAACTACATTTCCCAGAATGCAGTTCACTGCTCAGCACCAAAGAGATTTGGCCCTCTGTAGCCAAATGATTTTTGTTCCTGGGTTATAAATGTCATTTCCTATTTAGTTCTGTCATAAAAACATGGTGAAAGTTTATTAAACTGCAAAAACGTTGCCTTTGTGCGAGGGACATATGTTATAGCACATTTTGCTATCTAGTCCATGATTTATCATCGTCATCCACCCATTTAACAAAGTTTTTGGTGCAAAAGCAAAGTTCCCAGTATAGAAACACCATCTTCAAAGTAAGGACTACACAGTGAAACAAGAAATAATACTTACAAACTATGAATATATTTTCTTTATTATTAAAAAAGTGGTTTACATAAACTTTGAAATTTCCCCAAAATCCATAGATAAGTGAAATGTTCTAAAATTTTGTTGGGCTAAGAGTAGTAAATGTGTTCTACCATAGTAGTAAGTTTCACCCCAATAGCTGTAAAAACAATGGAGAAAAGAACCATGGAAGTTTCCCCAAATATCATAATTATTCGCAATTACTATAACGATATAGTAACAAAATTTAGATACCCTCATTATAGTAACTAATTTTTCACTTACTATACTTTAGAAACACTTTAGAAACAAAATGCCAGTGCCCCCAGTTTTGCAATGACTTTTGAACCATTTTTAAATGGATCACACATCCTTACTGTATAGTCTAGGCCCAGATGATGCTTAATCAATGTAAATCAATTTTCATCTTGGCATTAGAATAATAATTCTGTATAATGATAAACTCAGGTTTAAAACATCTAGAATATCATGCATGTTTGATTGCTGACATACCTCCATGTTAGTGAACACCATGAACCATTCATAAGCAAATTTAAAAAGTAATTAAAATTAAATTAGTTTTAAAAAATATTTCCCCATCAAGAAAAGAATTTGAAACATCCATATTACTCCTGCTGTCAATAAACATGACATCTAGCGAGTCTGTCATCAGCAGATAACTAAAACAAATATAGATTGTCTGGTGCGTTAATATGCATCATGCAAGAATGAATGGTAGGCATAGTTAAGCAGAACCCACTTTTTCTAGAAAGAGGGCAACAAAGGTGTCTTACTGTGGAAAAAAACATGTCACATTTCTTGCTTCCCTTTGGAAATGTTTGGAAGATGGGAAACTTAAAATTGTCTTGTGTTGCTAATATTTGATATTAGCATGTATTGCGTTGGGTTGTTAAAAACCGATTATAGAATAATATCTAGACTCATTTAAGGGTTTTTACTTTTGTGACCACACATAAAGTTGACTTCCTAGATACAGAAGAAGGAATCTAGATTAGGCTATTAGACAAGGGGCCCTTCTACACATCTGTATAAAATTCACATTGAACTGGATTATATGGCAGCGTGGACTCGGATAAAACTAGTTCAAAGCAGATATTGAGAATTATCTGCCTTGTTATTCTGGGTTATATGGCTGTGTAGAAGGGCCCAAGGTTAGGAAAAGTAATATTAGATGAAGTGTTTTCTTTCAGACTACTTACTCAGCAAACAATTGTCCTTTGACCAAACTATTATCTTTTTGGTTTCGATTTTTTCCCCAGTATCTGATGACATATTACAACTATGGTTTACAAGAATGTGCCATAGGTCTGCTAAAAGAGTGTGTATGTATGTGTCTGTACACCATGAATGTTTTATGGAGTTATTAGATTATGTCTATTCCGGATCCCATTAATTTTACTTGATTTCATGGATTCGTGGATTATACATCTCCGCTCAGGGGGTGTTCCTTTTCAATCATGTTGTCTTCCTTTTAGTCTCTCCGCTGCATGCATAATCTCCGAGACATTCACTTTTGCTTATTGGATCCTACTGAAATTTGATTTCATCTGCTTTGGAGGGTGGTGGGGAATTGATGGCTTGAATTCTAGAATGTCTTTTCTAAGAATTTTTCATACTGGAAGGAAAAATACACACAGGACCTCATTTTTGTCATTATGAAAGCTCAGGCCATATAAAAGTCTGCCAGTAAGATGCCATAAAAAGCCATCCTTGTTTACTCTGCCAGGCTAGTATGACGCCAGATTTTGAATTAAAGATACAGGATCCTTACCCATCTTTATAATTTGGTCAGATGCAATCCAATTTGGCCCCTAGCATGATATGTAATATACGGACCTATTTCTTTGGGTAAAATCCTCACAACACTGTATTTGTACCAATGCCAGACTGACTTCCTATTTCCAAATTTACCAGGCTTGGGGGCAATATATAAACAGTTCCTTAACATTTTTGTGCTGTTGATATAATGGTTTTTATGTAGAGATCCTCTGAGACTTGTTTCAAGGTTTCCTCCATGGTAAAAAAAAAAGTATAAAAAAGGCTTGATTGAAATTTCCTCTTTCAAATACATTTTAAATGTAGACTGTCCTGACTTTGCCCTCATAAAGGCCTTTGGTTCTTGAGTACAATTCAAATAAAGCATTCTGTTTTTTGGCATAATTCCCATCATTATATCTGTGACTAGACAAAGGGGGATAGTTGGAGATGATTAGTACAGTATATACTTGTATATCTCATACCATTTTAGTCAAAAAAATTGATCCCAATAATCTGGGTTGATTTATCCATGGGTAAGTGTGAGTCCTCTATATTAACTCTTATCTAAAAAGGAAACGCCCTGCTTTCTGAATCAGGTGACAAAAGGTAAGAGCTTTGTCTGTCCTGGGAAAACCTATAAAAAACACTGACGCTGTTTACTTTCTCCAACACTGTGCCACTTCTGGCTATTGAAAAAGATATGAAAATAGTGGCAGCTGGCTCCATTCAGTGTCATTGTCACTTGATTTATCTATGGGTTATATCAAAATCCACTATTTTGGTCCCAAATTCTGCCCTCAACTTGTACATGAAGTCACAGTATACATGAGTATATGCAGTATTTGAAAAGCCCCTGTAATAATTGTGTGTATCTCAGGACTCCATGTTGATTCTTTCGGGGATGTCCATATTTATGAACATTTAATAGAAAGCTATTCTTCAGTTCAAAGATCATGGAAACATAGAGAATGTCCCAATTTAGAACCTTAGACCTAATTCTGTCAGTAAGTTGAGTTCAGCGCAATCAAGTTATTATATTAGAATAGATTCTGTCTGAAATATATCCCCAACTGGATGAATGCCCAAAAAGTTAGGCCTTTTTGTCTTTCAAGCGATACAACTGTTCCATTACTTCCATGATGGAGCCCCCGGTGGCTCAGTGGGTTAAACCCTTGTGCCAGCAAGACTGCTGACAGAAAGGTCGGTGGTTCAAATCCGGGGAGTGGGGCAAGCTCCCGTGTCAGCTTCAGCTTCCCATGTGGGGACTTGAGAGAAGCCTCCCACAGGATAGTAAAATATTTAGGTGTCCCCTGGGCGGCGTCCTTGCAGACTGCCAATTCTTTCACAGCAGAAGCAACTTGCAATTTTTCAAGTCACTCCTGACATGAAAGGAAAAAAAAAACCCCTTCCATGATTATATGATCCCAGTGAGAAACATTACACACTGGGCTTTTCCCAGTCCCATCTGGAAATGTGCGGAACGGATACAGCCCATGTTGACCTGTTCTTCTCCTCTCCATCTAACTTTCGCACTGTTTCACTTTCTCCAGCTGTTCTTTGAAAGAGAGACTTCATGATAGCATCTCAAGAGGCCTGGCCTCAGTCACTTCCTTTCTTCTGACCTGCAGTTCCTCTAACTGCATTTTAATTGTTATGGCATAGAAGGTGACACCTTGGAAAGGAATTTGTACTAGCTACTGACAGGTCCTACTTCGCGATTTCCTGGTGAAATCGGCTTCAGTGCTCACTTCTGCCCAGCCTTTCATCTTCTGAGGCAGTCAACCCAACTCTCTTGGGTAGATGGTGCTAACATATGAAGCCTAAGGTGCCGAGTAAAGTGTAAATTGCATTTCGGATATTACACAAGCTGTTTCTAAAGAGTCCTTTATATAATCACTTCATTTCAAAAGTGTAGAGCTGTTAATCGTGTTCCTTCTACATTATTTAAGTTGAAAATGATTTTTTTATTCCGTCATTTTAGTGGGAGTTGCCAAAGCAGCTAGAAATTGTAGCTTTCCCAGACTGCACACTCCCACAGGAATCAGGCCTTTTGTTGGGAAATTATTACTGTTTACCAGCACATGAAACAGTTAGATGCATGTCCTTAAGAACAGCAGTTCTCACCTCTACAATTATGGCTATGCTTCAAACATTATCTATTACACATAGGAAACTCAAAGCAGAAGGATCACTCATTCTCTTAGATCCCAAGTTAGTATACATTTACTGTTTCATAATTCTATAACTATTTGTTAATAGTTATATTTAAATAGTCTTAGAAGAGTCAATTGCTATTTCTTTGATGAGGTGGAAGGACAATTTTTGATTGTTATAAATGTATTTGTTATATG